GCCGCCGCGCGCCCTGCCCCTCGGCCGCCGCCTCTCACGCTGCTGCCATCACTTTTACCTTGGTACATTCATTTCATATATATTTTTTTATTATTTTTTTTTTCCCCGACGGTCTGGGCGTGTGGAAAACCCGTGTGCCCTGGGAGGGCAGAGACGGCCCCTCACGCCGCTGGGCACTACAGGGGGTCCCTCAGTACGGAGGGCCGCGGACCCCCGGGGGTCGTCCTCCAGTAACTTCTTTCCCCCCCCAAAAAGGCCGAGCAGTTGGAAGGCCTCCTGGACACTCTAACCCGCACACCTTCACAGCGGGACAGGTTGCTCTTGCCTATCCACCCACAAGCTGGCAACCAAGAAAATGCTTGAAACGCTGAAAATTTTAGGGTGGCTCAAGGAGGATTTGGTAAGCGCCAGATGTAGTGCCCCATGGAGGGGTGTAGCGCTGTCCCGTGGAGGTGGAGAGCCTTGTTTGGAGGCAGACAGACATGGACAGGCTGGCTCCCACCTGCCCCACGCCTTCCTCAAACCGGCCAGAAAGCAGAGTGGACTGGTACTGCCTGCTGCCCAGCAAAAAACACGAGCTCTGCATCCCTTGTGAAAACTTCCCTGCCATCCGCTGTCACGTCTCTTGACGGGTGTTTTGCAATCTGGTGCTCTTCCTGCAAGGTGTGGTGCAAGATGTGGAAGCAGAACCCGAGGCGGGCTCCCTGGTAGCTGGTGGCGATTCCCCACTGAAAGGATTTCCCTACGTGTTTCGCTGGAGCGTTTACCAGTCACCCGTGGCTCCACTCTCCCGTTGCCGGTGGGGAGGGGGGACGGTCCCTCTTCTGCGTGACAGCCCGCACAATGACAGCCTCTGTTGTCATTTTGTGTGCGTGCTATGTGGGTCTTTTTTGTTTTCACCAGCAGCTGTAGGGAAAAAGTCACGTATTTTACATTGTCCCCAGCACCAGGGTCGCGCTTGGACTGAAGTGAAATTGGCCACGGAGCGTGCCGTGCCCTCCGAGGTGAGCCAAGGCAAAAAGCGAGGCACGGCCATGCAAAATACTCGCTTTGTTTAAAAATAGGTATTTTCTACATAGTAACGTGGCTGGGTACTGCACCCCAACACCTCTCTGCCGGCACTGCTGCTTCTGTTGGGCTGCTCCACAGGACATGTGTGCTGTGCTCTGTCAAGTCCCTCGTCTCTTCTTTCAAGCAGTGCCTTACATTTCAGGTTTAAAAAAAAAAAATAAAAATCCTTCTTCCCCTGACTGTTCGCTCATGGGGAGGAGTGTGTTTCGGAGCGGTGCCTGCACAGCTGGCTGCCGGCACGGTCAAGCCCTGCACGTCGCTCGGACCTCCCTGGGCACCGCATTAAAGCATCCAGCGTGGAGGGGGCTGGAGGGCTGCCAGCGGGGATGAAGGGCGCCTGGGGCACTGGCTCTGGAGGTGCCATCTTCCGTGTCTTTAAACGAAGGGGGAGACCCCCCCACCCCAGGCTCAGAGGAAGGCTGGCCATTGCCCTGGCGAGGCTCCGGGCCTGGGGGCTTTGCCACAACGCTGGTGGGTGCCGTTTGCCCTCAGCCCCTGCTCCAGCTCCCGGCGAGCTGGTGGCTCAGCCCTTAATCTCCGGGATGAAATTTCCTGCTGACGCGGCCGGTGCTGTCCCAGCGTGAGCCGACGCTCGTCCCCAGCCCTATGGCTCTTCCCTTTGTTCCCAGCCGGTGCGGCGCTGCCAGAGCCACGAGGTGTGCGGGGAACGGGGAACGCTGTCTGCCCGACGGCGGGAGCACCGCTGTTAGAGCTGATACACCACTGCCTGCCCGACGGGGCCCACGGGCTCGGGGAGGAAGCCAAAGGGGGGGCCAATGCCGTGTCAATTAACAAGTTGCCCCTTCACAGCGCACACCTCGCCTTCTCAAAGCCGAGGCGCCCTGTGTCGGGGCTGCGGGTCTGCCAGGGTTCCCCCCCGGCCCCTCTCCCGGTGCCCCCAGCGGGCAGCCGGCAGCGAGGCCGGCGCAGGTTTGGCTCCGCTCCGTGTTTGAAGGGAAAGGACCTCGTCTTCTCGCCCCATCCCCGGCCCCCCTCCGTTTTCCGACAATGCCCCGAGTGTCTGCGAGGAGAGGACGCGCGGTAACTCCCGGTCACGTCCGCCGGCCGGCAGGGACGGGGCCGCGCTCCCCTCCCGGCGGAGCGCCCGGGCTGGGGCAGCAACCGCAGCGCAGGGAACAGTGCGAGCGGGGGGGAAGCAGCCCTTCCTGCCGTACGTGCCTGCCATCACCCGCAGGAACGGGAACATTGGGGCTGGGATCAGCCCCGCGGAGTTAGGGGGAAAAAAAAAAAAAAAACCAAACAAAACTAAGAACCCCGCCGCGATGCGCGTCGCCTCGGAGAGTTTCTGAGACTGAGCCGTCCCCCCCTTCCCGGCCAGCAGCGGGCCCCGGCACCGGCCGGCCCCGCCGCCCACAGCGCGGAGAGCCCCCTCGCCGACCCCCCTCCTTCTCTCCCCCCGGCCCCCGCGGGGGACACGGCAGCGCAGCCCTCGGGCCCGTGTCACCGCGGGGCTGGCGTCTGCGCGGGCCGGACCCTCCCCCGCCAGACCCCTCGCAGCCTCGACACCCGCACGGCTGGGCGGCCTTCGCGCCCCCGGCCCCCCAAGCCCGGGGACACGGGTCGCGGGGACAGGCGGCCCCTGGGGACGGCCCCCTGCCCGCCCTGCTCTCCGACCCGCCCGGGCGCCACCGACGCCCCGGGCCCGGCGCTGCCCGCGGGGACAGAGCTCCCGCCCCCAGGGGCGGTGCGGCCCCGCCCCCCCGAGGCTCCGCGGTGGTACAGCCCGGCGCACCCCTCCTCCAATGGTTCGGCCCCGCGGCCGTTCTCCCCCCCTCCTCCGAATGGTTCGCCCCGCTCCTTCCCACCCTCCCTGCTCCACGTAGTGGTTCAGTCCAGCGGCCGCTCTCGCTTGGCGTCGGCACAGCCGCTGCCGTGACCCGGAAGTGCTCCCGCAACGCTTCCGGAGCGACGGGGCTTCCGGCCGTGCAGCCCGTTACGCCGGCCCGGCCCGGTTATGTGAGCACCGGGGCCTTCTCCTCGCGTGAGTGTTCGGGGACGGGGGCGGCTGTCGGGGCTGCTTGGGCGACTCGGGGAGGGGGGGGGAGGAGCGGCGTTGCTGGGCCGCGGGCCGGAGCTGCGCGGAACGGCCGCGCCGCGGCGGGCTGCCAGCTCCGGAGGGGGACTGCCCCGCCGCGCCCGGGATTGTTTATATTTATTTAACTTTGTTCCTACAAACGTATATATTTATTGATTTGTTCTGTGAGTAAGCGCCGGCCGCAGCTGCCTGGTGGCTGTGGGAGGATGCGGTTGAGCGGCGCGGCTGCGGGGGGCTCCCCCGGCCCGGCCTCCTCCCGGGGGTGTTCCCGGGCTGCCCGCGGCCGGGTTGCTCGTGGAAACCGTCCCGCGGGGCGGAAAGTGGCCGAGCAGGCGGCGCCGGACTCTCTGCGCGGGGAGGAGCTGCGCGGCGCCGGCCCCGGTCCCGGGGAGCGACGGGGAGCGCTGGAGCAGGCGGCTGCCGCTGCTGCTGCACCACAGAAGAAGTACTAAATAAACCCAGATGTTTGTGGCGTGGCGTGTCTGTCCCCGCCCCTGTCCCCAACGCCTTGTTTGTGGTGCGCGCATGAGTTCCTTTGAGGAAGTTATACGCTATTTCAGCCTTCTGCAGGGAAGTCGGCAGGCATCTCGGCTAACAAGTAGAAACGATTTTTTTTGTGCCAGCGTTTTTTGTAATGCACGTTAGCTTGTTAAAAAAGCATGTTTAGGCTTAAAAACTTTGCCTTGAGGGACCCGTGCTTACTGAGGTTTTTAAGCGGTGTAACTGGTGTTCCTCATTGGACTCCCCCGTGTTCAGGAACAGTGGGGTGGGTGTGCTTTTTGTAGTTTTAGTTTCTGTTTTTCCTGCTGGTTGTTGCATGGATGCACAGCTGATGTGTTGCAGAGGTGTTCACTGTGTTATTTCCTTTCTTGAAGCTCAGCAGGTCTTGGTACCTTTTGTAATGGCTATACACCAAAAAAAAATGTTGAAAATAGAGGAGGATTTTTTTTGTGTGTGTGTGTTTGGGTGGAGTTTTTTTTCCAGCCATGCCCCATAAGCAAGGAAAGATCTATTTAGAGATGGGAATGGTGTGAAAGGGAACTCACCAGTATGGGTGACTCTTCCTAAGAAAAGAACCTCTTAAGGAAGAGGAGGAT